AATAACTAAGTTTTAAAGGTCTTTAGCTTTTTCAACTAAAAACATGTCAAAGTATGCCAGGTCTTCATTAATAATCCTTTGCTAGAAACAGGGTTTTAAAAAACATGGCCACTTTATTGAGGTTCTGTCTTGATTCCTATATTCTGTTGCTTGCTTTTGCTTTTTTAAAGTAGAATCTTCATTTTAACTCACCTGGTTAGCATTGCATATTTCATCTGTGGTTCTAAATTGATTTCTTTTGTGTACATTTGGCATACTACTTAAGTTATCAAGATATAATTAAGTTCAATTTCCAGTTCAGTCAAGTTACTTGAACCTGATCAATCTTTAAAAATAACATAGTTTCTGTGGATATCAATAACATTAAGTTTGTGAGGGAAGATTACAGATATGTGTGCTTATTTTGAGTGTAATCTAGAGTTCATTGAAATGTGAAGTCATTTACCCTTCATGTGTTCTGTTAACACAGATACCGATGTTGTCATCTTGCCTAGGATAAGTGACAGATTAGTACATCTTCAGAATTATAAGTTGGATTTCTTTATGCATTGCCAGTATTCAGGGACCTCCTTGGAGTTGTCCAATGAAATCCAACTGCAGGATATGATATATCATGATCATTGTACTTTAATTTAAAAATACCATTGAAAGTATGGCTGCTACCAAAGGACTTGTATGCATACATATAAACCAAACCAATGGACACAGACAACAGGGGGATGAGAGCATGAGTTGGGGGGCGGGGGTGTGTTGAGGGTTAATGGGGGGATGAGGACACATTTGTAATACCTTAACCAATAAAGAAATTAAAGATTTTTTTAAAAAGGAAGTATGACTGCTAACCATTGCACTGCTTGTAAGAGTTTACAGCTTAGTGGTAGGAACTTCATGTTAAGCAGAATTGCCTGAACATTTATGGTAAAATAAATGGTTTACTAAGTAATCAGCTCTTTGTATAAACCAAAGCGAACTCCTGGTATTCTTTGCCGGATGAATTTTTTCCATAGTGTAGCTTATACATTCATTCCTTTCTGTAAATCTAGGAATATCCAAATTTGTTAACAGTTCTGTGTTAGGGTAAAAAGTAAGTTCCTCATAGCATAAAGTTCTGTCCAGCCCTTTATGTATGGTCTCATGGGTCTTATCAGTGAAGCTAAGTAAGGACCATTTAATGAAGATTCTCCCACAGTGATCCCTCTGGGTATCTCTATTTCATTATGTTTAAAACAGAACCAACTCAGTCTCCTTGGACAACTGGCAGGGCCCCTACCCACAGTATATCTTCCCATGTATAACCGTGGGCAGCCATCTGACCTGGTTTTTTATCACAATGAAGAGACACCTAGAAGAAAGTGAGAATGTCTTTTAGATTTCTTTTAAAAGTGTGTCTATCCTATTTTCTTCAAAGCCAAAACCTAGTTCTTTAAGAACATTTTTGTTCTCTCATTCTCAGAACCAAACTTCTCAGTATAGACCACTTGGCAACTTTAAGTGTTAGCTAGAGTTCGTTTATGCAATTTCACTTTCAAAGGAGCTGGGAAGTTGGACCTAGATGCATGGTGGGGTGGGGCAACTCCTTAAAGAGGCATAGAATCAGCAACAGACCAACAAAAGTTGAGATAAAAACATTCAAGCAATCTAGAAAGATGAGTCAGAACTAGTTCAATGGCAAAGAAGCAGAAAAGGTATACTTGGAGGATGCCAGTGGGTATTACTTGGAAGGTTGACAAATTAGGACCTCTCTGATGTATACATTTTATATTTAATAAAGGAAAAGACCTTTCTTCCAAATTTACATAATTCAGGAATTTGGTAATTTGTCCATGTTAGTAGTATGAGGCAAAGCAGGTACTATCCAAATGGGAATGTAATAAATGATGTTGAACTATATTATACTTCTTCAGGCTATTTATTCTAATTCTGTGATATATTACCCTGATAAATGTGAAAAAGATGGACTTCCTACAAGCTTAGAAAGTTTTGTTTTACTACATAAAACTAGATTAATAAAGCCACTTGGTTAAAGATGATTGAAATCAGTGTCCCAGGCCTAGTACTTGACTAGATTTTGAACCATGCATGTGTAAATATTTTTCAAGGAAATTTGTATATTTCCTTTTACAAATTTAATGGGTACTACTGTTCCCCCTTTTGAGGAAATAATGTTTAGTTATATCAGACAGTGGATATTATTGTTAAAAATATTGAATTGAGCACTGACCAGTTTCAATTAGTGGTTAAAGCTTTGGCCTATAGACAAAGGGGTCTCAGGTTCGATTCCCAGTCAAGGGCAAGTTCCTTGGTTGAAGGTTCCCCATCCCTAGTAGGAGCGCATGTGGGAGACAACCAATCGATGTGTCTCTCACATCGATGTTTCTTTCTCTCTCTGTCTCTGCCCCTCCTCAATCCCTTCCATTCTCTCTAAAAATCAATGGAAAAAATATCTTCGGGTGAGGGTTAGCAGAAAAAGAAAAAAAATATATTGAATTGAATTGAATTTTCCTAACTAGTGATTTAAAATATTATTTAAATTTTTTTAGTTTAATTAAATCCAGGTGGACACTTACTAGGCATTTAAACTACCCAGACTACTTATATTAAAGGACTATTTGATAAAATTTGGAGTATATTTTGACATTTTTCAAAGGTTTGTATCTTCATTTATTTTCCAAACTATCATAAAATATATGATCACTAAGAAGGAAACTTTCAATTTCATTCAGTATTTATTGAGAATCGAGTACCATCTTAGCCTGGTGTCTTGTGTGGACATATTTTCTTCTTTTGAGGAATTTATTTCTTCTTCAGAAAAAAGACATATAGTACTTAATACAGGGAACAGTTCTGCATGCTGTAAAATAAGGGATGGATTATATGATTAAAAACAATGGTTTTAAAATGTGGTTTTCTATTAAAATCAGAGTAGGAGGTTTTTTTCTCTCTTTCATAATTGAGATTTTGTTGTTTGTTTTGAGGGTCAGTACACAGACATTTCAATTTGTTCACAATTCTTAACATACATACCAAAAATATAAAGTCATGTAGTTGCGATTCTTTTCTAAACAGTTATTCCAGTGTCTTTCCAGCTTAAAATTTATTCATTTTATTTTAGAAGAGCTGGTTTCACTTAGTTACAAAAACATCAATTTCAAAACTATATCTGTCCAAGTAAATTTATTCACTTCTTGTGTCAACCTAATATTATTAACATGGGATTCATAGAAATATTGCATAAATCTGAAAAGAAACTACAAAATTATCAATATCAACAAGATAGTCTTCAAATTTTTGTTGGCATTTTGCAGACAATTTAAAAAATGCTGCATATTGATTATTGTTAGGGAATCTTCCACACATTGATTCATGTTAGGAAAATGTATGAAACCATTATTGTATTTTAGAGGTTTCAGTTTTAACATGAATTCCCTTTTCTAAATACTTTGCAAATAAGCTTTTGCTTTCCTTGAAGTTTCAAATTTAACTCACTCATATGCAGTATCATATTAAGGGAGCATACATCATTGTGCCATATTTTTGTCATTGATTATTGGATAATTGGCAATTATGCTTTTTGTTTCTCTAAAATCCTAAATTAGAGCTAACCATTAGTAAATCTTTATAAAACTCTTCTACGACTCGACCAATATAAGCATTGACACAAAACACAAGGTCATTACATTTTTCTTCTTCTTTTTTTTAACACTTCCATAAACTCTTGATGATTCAGAGCATTTGCACATATGTGATGGGTGTATACTAACAACTGTATTCATAGCACTCTCCATAGAGTCTGTTTCAAAAAAGAGAACACAGGAATTTTCAATGTGTATAATATGTTGGTGTGAAGCAATATGACAAACATCAGTTTCTAGTTTTAAAATGCTGTTATATCTGGATTTTTCATCTAACATCACTGAAGCACTGACCATCATAACAGAAATAAATATTTTCATATCAGCTGAAATTCTTCAACTGATGTAAAAGCTTTAAAAATATCTATGTCATGAGTTCTAATTTTTAGATAGTGAATTGATAGTATTTCTGCATAGATTTTAAAGTCTTTTGAGAAAAAAAATATAACCGAAGTATTAATTGGGCAGTGTTCCTTATTTTCAAACTCCTGTCAGAGTGTCCTTTCTTAAAAATGCATTTTTTAACATCCACTGCTTTGCTATAAATGTTCAGATCGTCATGCTTTCGTGGCAAAATCCAAATTCAGTGTCATGGTCTTGTCCTCTCAATCTTCTCAACTTCACCTCTTCTGTTCCCTCCTCTTACACCTTCATCCAGTCATGCTGAACTTGTGGTTCTCCCAGAAGGCCATTTTCTCTTACTTTTCTGTGCCATTCCACTGTTACTGCAGAAAAAGCACCTCTCCTCTCCCTATCCCCATCTTACTCCTACTAGTCATTCAAGTCAGCACAGAAGTCATCTTCTCTGGAAAACCTCTTGTAACAGCCCTCTTCTCCTGTCATCCTGGAATTAGTATCCCTGCCCTGTCCCCACCTCACCCCTGCACCCTGTGAATGCTCTACCCTAGCACTCACACTCTGTTGTAGCTGCCTCCCAGATGGTCAACTGTTAAGAGGGCAAGGATGGTGCTACTTTCCCCTCTATTTCCGAAGCACCCAGAAGAGCCCCTGGCACATAATGCGTGCTCAAAAAGGTTTTCGGCATATTCATGGACTATCACATCACATTTATATTATTGGGTGTTTCAAAGGATACCTGACTAAACTTGAATAATAAATGTGCCCTGTGCGTAATGGGTTCTATTCTTTGCTTTAAGGGTAATGTATTACTTTTGAATATAACTAAATAGTGAGTTGGATGTCTTATTTTAGGATATTTATTGGCATTTTAAAAAGCTTTTTAAAAAAGCTTCTAGACATTTTATTTTTTTATGACCTAAGTTTTGTAATTACATTTGTGATTGTTTAATACTGGATTTTGCTTTTGTTGCTAATCAGTCATCGTTCCCCCTTTCTCTCTTGGTTCAGCTCCAACAGAGGCCGCAATGCAGCTACACCTAGGTAAGTGTTTAAGGCCCCAGGGTCACTGACCTTAGTCCTAGATTTTCTTGCCCTAGTCCTCTGGCCTTGTGAGCAGATGAAATGCTCTGCACCCTCTGGTTTGCTGATCGTTTACTAAAATCAGAGTCAGGTCCAGGTTATGCTTGGACACAGGAACTCACCTGGGATGATCATGCCATCCCGCTGAGGGCTAATGGAAGGACGTCCGAACCTGTCAGTCCATTCATCCTTAGGATCCTGTTGAGTGTGACCATTCAACAGAACATTCTACTGCTGCAATTTCCCTAGTGCCCCATCCACCATAAACAGACCATAGAAGTGATGGGTAAGGAGCTATGAAATACGGAGGAATTCATCTCACTTCAGGTTTGAGATTTCTGTTCAAATTAGAACTGCCTTATAAAAAGAGAACTGATTTGGTCATTTCTTCAGAAACTGAAATGAGACTGTTTCAATAACTATGTGCTTTGTTTAGTGGGACCCTATTATGTTTATCAGCCCTCATTTTTCCCATGATCTTTTCCCAGTGCCAGGCACTGAGTGGGCCACAGTTCTGAGTGGCCAGGGTTGTGTAGCCATTAAGAGTACAGATGTTGGAACCAAGCTGCCTCGTCTCTCCTTCACCACTTCCTGTCCATGTGACATCAAGCAAGTTACCTAACCTCCCTGTGCCCCAGTTTCCACATTGGTGAAATGGAAGCAATAATAGTACCTGCCTCCTAAGGTTGTTATGAGGACGGACTGAATTCATATTTGTAAAGCATCTAGTCAATGACATAACAGTGTTGGAAATCAATAACTGCATAAGGAACCATTGAGGCTTAATCATGCCTTTATAAAAGTTCTCTGTGAAACAAAGGAACTCTAAGAGCTAAATTTCTCATTCTTTTTTAGTGAAGACCTGTTGTGAAAGCAATGTCCAACACTAGCTATTTAATAAGCATGGAAAGAAGTGATCCTGGCTGGCCCCAGCCTTTTCAGGTGTCTCTCACTGCGGGGCTTGCAGATGAGTCAGTGATTTGTCTCTTGGGCTTTTCCTTTCAACCTGTAAGCCCAATTAATTTATTTTTCTCTTTGGAAGATCTGCCTTGAGAAGCTCTACTTTTATGTGATGCTACAGCTTGGGGCATTTCTTCTTTGGCAGACAAACATAAGCACTTAGAAGCATGCCTTCTGGCCGCAGAGGTAGGCTGGTGACTTACAGCGGCCCAGCTGAGTCTCTTGTCTCCCCCACGCTGGGTATTTGAGAGAGCTGTATGCTATAGGCACTTCAGGCACTGTGTCTAATTGTTCAGAGGAATCGTTAAGTCACTCCCATGCACAGAATACATCAGTGTTCTCTCCAGTGTAAATCCCTATTCTCCCTGTTATAGTGCCCAAGGCTTTGAGTCTAAAAAGGCATTCCTCACAATCCATGCTGATTCACTGGTTTCCCCGCCTTGTTATGTGCTTACCTGCTGGCACACCTGCTATACAGAGGGTGAGGATGGCTGTAGGTGGTGCTATCACCAAAGAGAATTTAGAAGTATGCTTCCTAATATTTGGAGCTGAATTTAATTTTGCAGTGAGCTCAGTGAGCAAAATAAAAAAGGTAAATGTCATGTTTGAGGGGAAAAAATTGGGAGGGTTATTTTTTGTTCATTAGATCATATGATTTTAAGTTTTTTCCAAAAAGCATATGTAAACTAGTTTAAACAAAATTGTACAGGCTCAGAAAATTTATATTAGTTGAAACAAACTTCCCAAGCAAACCATGGAAATCAATGGGAGAGTTTTTAAGCACAAAATTCATTTTTTTCACCTTGAGTAGAAATAATTGTCATTTCTCATACAGCCTTGGAAATGAGCTGGCTGACATTGTAGCTGGCCATGAAATTGTTTTTACTCACCCACCCTCTATTCAGTGCAAATATCACATACTCTATAGCTATGAAAACATTCTTTGCTGTTAGCATGCCCGGAGTTCTTCTAGATTATATTAAAAATGGGTGTTTAATATAATCTCATGTGTAGTGATAATATATTGAAAACTACAGATGGTTCCCTGGCATTCCTTCTGACTTCTAACATGACTTTATTGGGTACTTTTACTTATTTGTGTAGGTTATTTCTCCTATGCAGCTCTGAGGGGGAAAGAAGTTAACTTGAAACACATTAAATAAAAAGTGAGTGAATATAGGAAATGAGAGAAAGCAAGAGGGTTATAAGAGAAGAGGAAATGGGTTAGTAAATACCAGCAATGCTAGCTGACAACAAGTAGAGCGTCCTGTTTCTTTCTACACTTTAAAGTGAGTTGGAAACGGAATCTCTTTGGGCGTGTGGAGCTATGAGAGGCAAGTCTTGTGTGACCTCTCCCCTGTTGGTTGGTGCTGACCTTGGTCTTCCTGCCTGGTGACACTTTGGTAGGGTTTCTCTTTGGGGGCTCTAGCTTCCAGATTTCTAGGTGTCTAAACAGCACAGCCTTTGCCCTTTGTCCTTAGCAAAGCAAATATAATCAACTGCTCATTTAAAATTCAGTCTGAAGGTCAAACTATTATTTCTCAAATGCAGCACATTGAGCCTTTTGTGTAGCCAAATCTATTGTTAAGTATAATTTTTTCTAAATACTTTTTTTTTCTTTTAGCTGAAATACATAGTGACAGTATTATCCTACGAGATGACTTTGATTCCTACCACCAACTGGAATTGAATCCAAATATATGGTAAGTTACAGGAATACGCCTCACTTGGGTTTTTTTAATGCAAAAAAGAAATAATGCTGATGTTCCCTTGGAGAAGTTCCATAAAATTAAATTTTTCTTTAGTGCTAAGGTATCAGTAAGAATTTAACTAAGGACCTGGGCTTAATGTAGACTGCATACTGTCTGTACTTGACTTAAGAACTGAATCTAGGTATCCCTCAAAGCCATGGGTGTGGTTAGAGGGTTTTTTCAGTTGTATACATGGAAAACATTAAGTTTTAATGTGTCTAATTATTGCATTTATGCCAAGCAAAAGAACAGAAATGGTTTTTCTGAAAGGACAGATGATCTGATATCACACTTCCAAATAACTTCTAAGCCATTGGGTCAACTCATTATTATACTCCAATCACTTCTTCAAAAGCTATTTAGATACAATTTCATGAGTATTTTGAGGGCAAAGATGTAATGAACCAAAACTCATTTGTTGACATGGGCACAGACAGCAATGTGGTGATTGCAGGCCGGTGGCAGGGGGGGCCGGGGGG